ATAAAGTGATCTGAAAATTGTGAACATAATTTTCTGACAGGAAATCTAACACATTCATACAATTGGATTTGTCGTAACCTCAGTTTATCTGAAGTCACTAGCACTTAGGTAATGGAATGTTTTCAAAACATATAAGATATTCTCGATCTATTCCTCTAATTTATTATTATAATTGAAGCTAAACAAATAAGAATATTTATTTAAATTAAATAATTTTGGCTACTCTAACACAACTTAGCACCATATTTTATATGAACAGTTACTAAAGTATCCCCTTGACATAGTTTTACAATTTCGGTTGTATCCTTTAAATTTTTAAATTCTTGCAAGCTATTCCTTTCTAGTTTTGAAGTATTCATTTTATTTTGTGCTGTTTGATTATTATTGAGAGCTGCATTATATTTTCAGGACAAAGTGATTCCACGTATTTCCAAAGCAACCGATGAATGCTTAATATTAAAAAATAGAATTGCTTATCTACAAGAAGTGATTCCTGATGACCTGCAAAAATCCAGAAGACCTCAACTACAATTAATCATACAAGCTTTAGATGATTCTAAAAAAGGAAATGTGTAAAAATAAAAAAGAACTTACTTTTTTTTAATGAGTGAAAAGACTGGATATTTATTTTGAATGCTTTGTTGACCGTTATCTCTGAATATTTGTATTATATAATTGTTTATGTTGAGCTATGTATTATTTTATTACGATACTTATTTGTACTTACTTAATCTATCATTTTCAAGATAGCTTGTCAAAATATTTAAAGGAGTAATCTTATATACAGACAATAAATAACTATTGACTATTAATACTTTTATTTTGTTTGTTTACATTGTGTAAGAAATATATTTTAATTGAAATGTTCTCAAATGAGTTTGATAGCTATTGCTAAACAAAATAGTAGACATCGACTACAGGCTTCATTCCCTAATAAAGTTGTAGGTCTTATCTTCTCAGTGTTTCAATTTACTTATTTATGTACATAATTATATATATATGTATTGAGGTAGACAGATTCAAATACCTCGGCTCCACAATAACCTCAATAAATGATCAACTAACAGAGATAGACCAGCGAATAACAAGTGCTAACAGATCTATCTTCTCTTTCAAAGCTACTGAAATCCAGAAAAATCTCCAGAAATCTCAAAATAAGGGTGTACAACGCGGTGATTAAGCCAGTTCTGCTGTACGGTTGTGAAACCTGGTCTCTAACCGGCACATTAGAAGCAAGAATTGAGAGATTCGAAAGAAAAGTTCTATGTAGGATAACAGGACCTATATGAAACCAGAACCTTGACACATGGAGGAGAAAGAACTGTTGAAAGAAATGGGTCAGTCAATATCTCATGACATGAAGGCAAGATGGGCAGGGCATGTAGCTCCTATTAATCCATCAGGACCCCTCTACACGACAATGAATGCCAGAGTCGTAGGCAAGAGAGCACGTGGGAGGCCAAAAACCAGATGGATAGATAGGATAAACAAAGATACGGCTGAGCTTCATGCAGCAAACTGAAAGCAGTAGCCCAAGATAGGCAGAGGTGGAGAAGGCTGGTTCAGGCGGCTAAAGATCTACAAGGTCTGTAGAGCCAACCGAAAAAAAAAGATACATATATAATAAAACTATACAGAGCTCAGTGAATATTTACAATATAATAATAATTGTTTTAAATCTGAAAACTTTTGATGATTGCAATAGAGATTGTGATGACCGAGCGTGTTAAACCCTAAACTTTAACATTCTCGAGTCAAATGATATTGGTTTGAATCTAGCTTGGGTAATTGAATTCCACAGAATGAATCTCAACCTTCTCACTCTAGTAAGAATAGGTTTAGTTATACCTCCATAACAACCCCACCCTCCCGAAGTATGCCAGAAATTGCTAGGTAGGAGGTACTCGAAAACAAAAATATAGGTAAGTGAAAGTAAGATTGATGTTTCCATGTATCAATTTTTTTTCTTTTAGTAATCTTCACGATTGATAAAATGTAAGTAAATTAACAAACAATCACATCTTTAAAATAAAACTAGGTTAACTAACACTTCAACTTATTTTAACCTCATCAATTCTAAAAATTTACAGTTTTATAAAAAGAACTGAGATACATTTCCTTAGGGTGAAAGAACAATGCAAACAAAATAAGAAAAGTTAAATGAAATAAATTTCAGGAATAAAGGAAAATAAATTCTTAACAAAACAAATACAATTTATTTTGTATTCCAAAATACCAAAATATATTTATATTTTTAAAAACAAATAAGTGCACTTTAAAGCAGGTGGATCACAATTAATGGAAGTTTTAGAAATAACTCCCACTTACAATACAGAAACATCTAAATGATCAATAAATTCAAATAAAAATTACTCTTCCTACATTAATACTAAAATCTGTGGTATATTTATAGTACAGTTTTAAGGCTAATATTTTTTATATATGTTCTTCACATCAATACGTTACTGTTTGTTAACACTAAAAAAATTACAGATTGATTTAGCTTGCTGGTAATGTGTTATTTATATTATCATTAAAAAATTAGCTTTAACGAACATTTTAACTACAATTCTATTTTTTAGACTTCAGGAAACTATAAATAAATTTATAAATTTTAGGTATAAATATACACGAGTTCTCAGTAGTAAGTACCTTAGTTATTTAAACAACATTACTCTCAAGAATCATAAAGACATATATTGACAATATAATTACAACATTATGGCTTGATTTTTAAGCGACAAATCAGTTTGGTAACTGCTATGATACCTGATAAAAGAAAAATAACTTCACTAATTATAAGAAAAAAAATAATTTTATCTATTAATTGATATGAAAGGTTTTTTAAAGCGGTAAGAACTGTTATTCTTTGTAAGTAAACAAACATTTTAAAAGTTATAAAATTAGAATAAATAAGTATTACATTAATATCAATAAAAATTATTATCAATTTAATTAATAATTAACCATGGAAAACTATACTCTGAAAGTAGTCAAAATCTTTTAAGTATTCGGTTGCACTAATTAATGAAATGGAGAAATCACCACCACGAATAGATTTTTCGCCCTGTGAAAAATGGTAAATTATAGATCCGTGTCTCATAGTATCAAGATCACAGTGTATGGGAAAGTCATTAGACCTATCATCCATCATCTATGTTTCAATTCCTGGATGATACTCAGAGCAAGGAAGCTTCCATGGGATAAAAGGGTTCTCCCAGGATTCATAGTCCGTTGCCCAAACAGGCAGTGAAGAATTTGCACCAATAATGATCTGCAGATATATACAAGACCAAATTTGGTTTCAAACAAAAGGGGAAACCAAATCAGATGGTTAGGTCATGTGATCTATGCCCAGAGACTCATATCTTCAAATGCATATTCAACGATCAACCAGGTGAAAGACCACTGAGGTGGAGAACATACCAAAGACAGTAGTTAATCACATAGGATGGAAGAAAGTAATAAGAAAGGCCTTGATTATTGCAGGACTGAATTGCCAAAAATAAATAAATTCAATGTAAAAAAAATTAACCAATATTTAATTAAACTGATACCGATTGTATTTTAGCTTAACACATAACATCAGAATCTCAGAGATAAACTATATTTAACATACTAAAGGCAGGACAGTTAGTTTTTACCTAAAGCCTCAACTACAGTTCTACTTGGGCGATAAATTATATTCTAAAATTAAATAAATAAATTCTTTAAGGCGATGTTTGGAACCATATTTGAATATATTTTAGCAGCCAAGTGGAAATTTTTACAGTATACAGTTGAATATCTACTTATTAAATTTATTTTATTTTGTCAGGAACTTAAAATATGTCAAATAAAATTTCTATATATTAAACAAATATTCTCTCACAAAAAATTAATATGTAGTCGTCAGTATATTTATAAATAAAACATAAATATATTATTAATAGATGCCTTCAAATATATATTTTATGCAAATTTGTAACTGAAAAGTTTGTAATTAAATAAATAATTTATAAAGTAGAACCAACAGATCTTTGACGATTGGGACAAACATGGCTGCACCACGTCCAAGCTGCACTACAGCCGTATGTATAAGTGTCCCAATCTTGATTTGTTTTTCAAATCCAGAAACTTAAGTTAAGTGTAAGTACCAACCACATGAAAAATCATGATTTACGATACATCAACATTTATATAAATAGTTTTTTTTTTTTTTGGAAACTTTTCTTTGGAAGAGATCTATGTAAATGAATAAATTGCCTCATTTTGAAATACTTAATATGACACCTTCAATATGTAATTGATAAAACTATAACAGTTCACCATCAGGAAAAAAACAACTGCCACATCTTAAATTAAAAATATATACATTCAACAAGTACCTCTGAAACCAAGAGGCTCCTAAATTTTAAAACATCACAAATAAACAAATGAGTATTTTCTAAGATCTACCAACTTCAACATCAAAAAGGGATGTTACATTTTTTAAATAAGCTTTAAGAATAATTTAAAACCATGTCTGTCAATCAATGTTATAAATAATATAAAAATAATTATTGGAATTGTCTTGTAATCTAAGGTCAATCAAGTTAAGTATATACTAACGTAACAAATATATTACATTTACAAACAACTAACCTGAATTAGTTATACCCACTAAAATTAGTGAGATAAAAATAATAAAACAAAATGTTAGTGGAATGTTAAATATAAATTCTACTCTACCCTAGTGAATTTTGTTAATTACTAAATATTAATAATAACAATATTTATTATGGACTCAGACAGAAAACAATAATTTAAATTATGCATTACTATAACTTTCATTCAATAAAATGAAATACCACAAACAAAAATTATAAACAGTTTTAATGTAAAAATAAAAACTATCACTACATTGGTGGGAGTAATGACAAAAAAGATATGTTTGTACTATTTAAACATCATAATTGTTAACATGAATAACAAACATAACAACATAAGATAAAACTTAACTAAAGTATACTTGCTATACTGTCTTAAATCATTTATAAAAAAGATGGGAAAAGATTTTATACTATATAATTATAAAACAAAATGTCATGTGCCATTATATAATAATTATTAAAAGTGGAAAAAGGGAAAGCCCATACATAATGACTAGAATACTGTGACACTAAATTGAATTTTAGTGACATCAAAATAATTTTTAAAATCATAATTTTTATTTTATTTAAATAGAACTTATTCTCAGGCTACGAAGATGAAGTCCAGTCTTTAAAACGACCTCCTGTAATAAAAATTAAAAAATTATAAATAACAAAAAAAGTCATATATTCACATTTAGATTTCTATTCCACATTTGGACTTGGAAGTCCAAATTTATTAAAATAGCTATTTTGAACTTGTTGCCTAATGAAGGCCTAAAACTTGACTCCAAAATATCAGCAGCCATTAAAAATAAGTTTATAGTTATGGATGTCTTTCCTTCCTTGACTGTTCCTCCAAACAACTTAAAAAAACAGTTTTAATTGACTAACATAAAGATTTTCCCTATCTACTGTTCTAAACAGACATGAAGCATGGATTATGGGAACAGTGTCTAGTGCTATTTGATTGTTCATGTTCTGATATCAGCATTTCAATAGTGTTAACTTAGTCATAAAGAGAATTCAGATCACTAAATTGTTGTCATGAAGTTGAATTAATAAATGGATAATGGCTGCAAATAGATGCTATTTGAGGCTCATAAAGCATTTCAGAAGTATTTAGCTCAAGCTCCTAAGATTCGAGAGAGAGGCGGATCCTTAGAAAATCTTTGGGCCAGTGGTCAGCGATAACATTTGGTGACAAAGAACTAATTCTGAAATAGAAAGAATGTATAATACCCAGCCTAGAAATCCTAGATTGGAATAGATTATATTCCTGTTCTACAATTGATACAATGGTGGATATTCTCACCTCCAATTTTCTTAATATCCTTGAAGCCCACGCCCCTCTCAAAAGCTCTCTCTACCTTTCATCGTCGTCCCGCTCTCTGGATGTGTCAGCAAATTAAGGAACTCCAGAAACGGCGAGATGCTGGCCCCTTAGACACTAGACGTACTAGGCTGGCCCACGACTATCAAGCGTTAAGGGTGCTCCTGACACAAAACAAAATCCAATGAGCCAAATTGACCTATTTCAATGAAGCCCTTTCATCAGTTCCCAATTCCATATCCAAATGGCTACTCCTTCGTAAACTCTCCCTCTGTGAATCTTCCAGATCTCCTCCCTCAGCAGTATTTCTAGTTTCACCAGATGATTTAAACTAATATTTTATATCTGCTTCTTCTTCCACTCCTCCTTCCACTGCTTCCTGCTCTTCTGGTACATCCTTCAATGACGGATGACTTTTACTTTTCTTACATCTTGCCCACAGACCTCATATCCACCGAGATGCAATCACATTCCAATTCTATTGGTCCATATGGCATTCCGGCCAAATTAATCAAACTATGCCTTCCCGAAATCCTTCCTGTTCTCCTTTTCGTATATAATTTCTCCCTCCAAAACTCAGAATTTCCTACTTCATGGAAGAAAGCCACTGTTCGTCCTTTAAATAAAAATTCTAACCCTTCTTCCAGCAAAGATTTCCGCCAAATTTCAATCCTTTCCAATTTTTCAAAACCCCTGAAAAGAAAAGTGAAAACCCAAATTTCCAATTTCCTTGAACATTCCAATCAACTCGACCCTTTCCAATCTGGTTTTCGACCAGGTTACTCCACACAATCCACCATAATTAAATTCAGTACTCCACATTCAAAACCCTCTTATTACAATTCCTCTTCACAATCCAATCAGATGCTGGTTAATTATTTATTATATAACAAGGATAATTTTTTTTTTATACCCCATTATTTTATTTTATTTTTTGTTTATTATTTATGAATTGGAAAGATTCAGTATCACTTTGGCATAGCACTGTGATGCATAAAAAATAAGAGATTGTTTGTTCTTTTTATACATTTTTTTTTTCTATCTACAAGATTATATACATTTTAAATGTATTCCATTGTTTACATTCCTAAATTTTTATAGACATATCTTTTCCTATCTTAATCTCTGTGTTTGTTTATAGTTTGCAATACCATTGCATATTATATAACATTTAGAAATAATTTATTTTCTTTTAATCATTTTTTTCTTCTTTTTCTCACAATTGTTTTCTCATAAAATTAATTAATTGCCCCTTCCTAATTGTATTTATCTATTTATTCTTATTTTATATCTCTTATGCTGGAACAATGTAATACTGTGATCCCGTTGCTTATCTTCTGTCATTAATATATCTTTACTATGTATATATTTTAGCTGTTTATGTTTTAACATAAAAATTCAATACTTATTATTAACGTACTTCTGATATTTTTTCTTTTCTGAAGGTTTTGCTTTTTCTTTCTATACATGTAATTCTTTTTTTCTTTTTTGTTGTTTTTTCCAGTACAATTATAGTATAGTTGAGAAGTTTATTTTATTTTTTAGTTTTTTATACACTATTATTCAAGTAGTTGTATATATTGTTTGAATCTTTATTAAGTTAGTTTTTGGCCAGATATGTATTTTTTCTTTTGTAACTATTCATTATTGTTATTCTAAGGGGAAATATTCCCAGAATAAAGTTTATTTTCTATTCTATTCTATTTTATTCTATAATAATACAAATATAGTCGGATTCATAAGGCTTGGAAGGATTCCTTGAGCAGGCCATCCAGCTCGAATGAAGAATGATGAGGTCCCAAAAAAACTTTTGGAAGAAAGGATACAGCAAGAGGATCATTGGAAGTCCGAGACTACAGTGGACCGATGGAGTTAGTGGCAGAAGATGCATGGTCCACCTTAGGAGTAAGAAACTGGAGGGCAATGGTAGGGAACAGAGGAGCCTGGCAGTTGATCTTGCGAGAGGCCTCGACTCACAACTGAGATGTAATGGCGGAAGAAGAAGTTTATGAAAAACACTATAACAGAGGTAAAATAAGGGATGGAAGAGAAAAAGCATAGGCATGGAATCTTGAACTACTAAGAGATGAGAAGATATGAGCACAATACAAGCAAATGGTAAATGAACTCGTTCTAATTATCCCCAATGTGACAGATAAAAAAAGAGCTATAAATAAGGCAGCATGGTTCATCACAGGTTGCTCTGGGCAACACATGTTTTGCACACGCATCAGCTCACTTGGTGACCCCGGTCCCATCCCATTACCAGTCTCATTGAAAATGATAATTATGAACAACCTTCTAAGAGGATATCATGGATATAACAGCAGGAATGAAAAAACATAAAGCGCATCGGATAGAAGATGGTATTCCTGTGGAAGGAGCAAACTAGGATATTGCTGCTGTACTCCTAGAATTAATATAAAAAATTGGGGAAGATCCCATATTTGTATATGCATGTATGATCCATGAGCATCCAAAAGGCTATATCTGAGGGAAACTCAAAAAGCAAAGAGAAATTTGGATTTCCCTCTGAACCAGGTGTATTGCTGCAGCACTGATTGTTCTTCTATAACTCATAACCATAATCAGCAGTTCATTGAAAGTATTATTTCATTGCTAGCTACTTGTGATATAGAGTTATTATATAGCAATATAGAGTTATTTGGATAGAAGGGAGATCTAGAAAAGATTGATCGCTTTAAAATTGGTAGGATTTCTCTGTGTGATAAACAGCCTTCCACTTTAAAGACCAATAGAAATATTGAAACAGTTGAACAAATGATGATTCTCTATAATCGAAAAATTTCAGTTGATGGCATTGCAAGTGAGTATTGAGAAACATTTGTTTCAGTGATATCTAAATGGAAATCTTAAATTCATTAACCATTTTTATAATTAAAAATACATTGGCAGTCCTAAATTAGTTTTAATGTTGTTTTTAAAAATGTATCCAGGATTGATATAATGGATAATAGAAGTTTTTGGAAATATTTCTTGGTTTTGGTACCAGTGGAACACCCTTATGAAGACTGTGTGGGAGATAGCATTAAGCCATATCAATGTATTTACAAGCTTATATTAAAAAAAATAATTTTAAAATACCAATAGTTTTAACAGTCTTGTTTATACTCCTTTCTTTCTTGACGTTATGGTTCTTTATGTTTTCCTCAATGTATTCAGCACATCGCTGTTCAAAAAGACCTGTAAGTTACAATACGATTATTATTAAAAACTGAATTGTATACTAAACAAACATGTCCAGACAATATACAAATTGCACTAAATATTAATTAATAATTTACCATGTTCAAAACTTCTTTCCAATCTCCTTTGTATAAATGACTGGAACATGGCAGTTTCCGTAAACCACTCAAGAAATAGCTGAGTGCTTCTGGAATTAGGTGTTTTTACAAATGACTCCCTCTGAAAAAAAAGTGTAAAACAAAAAATTATAACAAACAAGAACACATTACTATATAAATATATAACATGAATAATATCAGATACTGGTACTGATGGAGTGGGGGAGGGAACTAGTTTGCCAAATGGGTCTTGTTGCCAACCCCTGACGGTTACTTTGAGGTTGAGTGAGAGTATTAAGATTCATTTCCCTACGCTACCAAGAAATAAATATTAACTGTCACACATAGGAATCAAACTTAAAATGGAAGAATTATTCAACAAGAGGATTTTATCCATGTTTCATTAATTCTTTATCAATTCTGATTTTTTGCAATTCTCAGATTAACACTTTTTCTTCAAGAAATTGTTGAATAATTAATTTAACAACATAGATACCTTTAATGTTATTTATCTATGATTTTTTAATCTTTTAAAAATAAAGTTGTGCTTTTATTTTTATTTCCAGAGTCTACCTTATTGAACCTTTTAGCGACAACGAACTGGAAGGGTGGAGATTCCTTGAAGGCAATATAATTTTCATCCCCTCCACAGACCACTTACAAATTTTCAATTAAGGAATTACTTACTGCCTCATGGGAAGACCGTGAAATAATTTGAAAATATAGTTGATCAAAAAGCAACCCGTTGTTTAACGAGAAAGAGGGCGACAGACAGTCTTTTGACTCATATATGAGTCCACCTTCTTCTGGGCCACATTTTTTCTCAAGTCTACCATCGTTAAAGGATTAATGGATTTTATTTTGATGATTACACAAATAGAATTCTCATTCCGAAAGCCACCATAAAAACTTTTCATAACAGAATAGCTAGAAAATTTCTAATTAATGGCTTTTGAAACAAAAACACAACTTTCACTTACCGCTCAACTTTGAATAGAAATTATTTTCAGGCCATGTTGGGCTATTATAAAATTTTAATCACAGCTCATAAACAAATCATAAACACCATTAAAATAATAAAAGTTGTATTTATTATATCATCGGTTGATTATTGGCTGTACAATCCATTGATAATGGATTGTACAACTATTAGTTATTAAACTATTATTTTCCATTGCAAAGTTTACTAAAAAGGAATTAAGATATTTGCATTGTCTGTCATAGACAGGTCAAAAGTTGCCACACTAATTTAAGTGGATACTGTTGGAATATCACAAAAGGAAAATTCATCAAATTATTCACTAATTTAATTTTCTAAAAGGTTACATGATGATTTTTCAGAATAAACAGACGATAGACAACTAATTATTTAAATGTAATATCAGATCTAGAATTATTAGACTAAAGTAAATGTATTTAAGGTTATAAACATATGCTTTATACATCCATGAAATGATTATATATTTTACTTCTTCTTTCACACAAGTACAATGAAATCGTTTTTTTAACAATTTCATTGCCTTGATTAGGTGAATTTTAAATATTTTTTTTAAACTTAAAAATATTTTAAAAGGTTACATTTAGTTAGTAAATTTCATTTAATTTCTTACGGAGTGAATGTGTTCATTTATCAATATAATTATTGTCCCCGTGACAGAATATTTTGTCAAAATAAAAAAAAAATAAATAAAAAAATAAAAAATTTCCTTGAAAACATGTGATTTACGTTAAATATTAGTTTCCAAAAATTATTATTTATATATTATTTTTGCCACTCCCCGTTACCTTCTACAACTTTCTGTATTAGATATTGTTTTTTCTAAAATTCTCCGCTTTCCAACGATATATTATACGTATACCTTCTGACTAGTATTTCCAGAGATTCATTTTCGACCCGGATAAGCATTTTTATTTTTTTTCTCCTTTATTCAATTATCAAATTTTTTAAAAAGTTATATTTAGCATTCATTCATAACTCTTAATAATGAGAGATAGTTAATTATTTAAAATAAACCAAATTAAATGTACATTAGAGGAAGACGTATATGAACATTGGGCATTTAACCCCTGTAAAGTGACATCAATGGGGATAAGAACTAAATGATATTAAAGACCACTTAACTATACAATGATACACCGAATTTAATCAAATCATTAGAGCTGTTTTTGAGAAAATTATAAAAATGTTTTTCACCATTGATATAAAGTGGCACTTCCGGTTAGCCGATTTTAAGAAAAAGTTGCTGTCACAGCTAAGGCATATACCTATCTTAAATATATAATATCAGTTTCGTACAACTTTTCGTTTTTGAGCTAGACAGCTAACATACAAACACACAGACACATACACCATTTTTCAGAACTTGGTTATTTGGACTCAGGATACCCCAAAAAGTGTATTTCCGTTGAAAAATTAAGATTAAAAAATTGTCACGATTGCAATACTTACCCTTACTATATATTACATATATGCCTAAGTGAAAAAATAAACAGCATTATTTTTTATAAAACAATGTCTAGATAAATAGACCAATCCATTCTTAAGGCATTCATTTTTATATTTCCTGAATTTCTAGATCCATCATTTAGCTAATTTTTTTTTTTTTTAAATAAACAATTCAATGATCAGTTATCAATAATAATGACTAAGAAATAGGTTTAGTATTTACTAATTCAAAAATAGAAAATATAAACAACAAGAATGTTTCGATATTCATTGATGGATATGTAATAAAGAGGCTATTTGTATCAGGTTATCACAGGAGGATATGACCACAAAAAACTGAGATAACAGTGTTATGCAGATGTGAAAGGCTTTAGTGTTTCTGACAATAATCTACAAGCCAATAATTAGAACTATATATGGCAAGTTTAAAACTATCTGAAAAAATTTACCTTCCAAATCCTATCAATTTAAATTTAAATCTCATAAAAATGATTTTTAATTTATTTTTTATATCATATTTCCATAATAAACAATATAAAAAGCTAAGAAATTTTTAATTTTAACATCGCCAAATATATTTTTAAGGTACATTCAAATCTAATCTCAAATCAAACTATCTCTAACAAACATAAATCTTTAAATAATAGCCAGTTAATAAGACATACTTGAAATGTTCTGTTATTAGTATGGACATCAGTGATGATATATCCATTGAAATGGCCAACAAGCTCAACAAATAACCTCATAAGAGCCTCCGAAGCCCCGACGTCAGTGCTGTGTACAGGGCACAAGTAAAGAGCTGATTTGAGACATAAAATCAATCTGTTGGGAAGGATAGAAAGTTCATCTCCACAAGACTTGATAACTTCACTGTTATCCACATCTGCCACAAGACACTACAACAGAATAATTAGTTACGAAAATAAATTCATTTAAAATATTAAGAGTATATTCTAAATCAGTTGGCCAAAATTTTCCTTAGTTCAGAGAGATTAAGAGTATGATTGTAATTTTGTTCCCTATCCATTTGTTAATAATAGAGTTATAGGGTGAGTTTTTAAATATAATAACATAAGAGCAAATCCAGAGTCAATAAACTAAAGAATGTTATCTAAATACAGTTCTAACTACTTCCTCCATTAACCAATAAGATCTAACCTATAAATACAACCCCTTCTACAGCTCAGCACATTCCTTAAACATTTACTTATCAGCACAGCGAAGACACAAACATTTATACACCCATTCCAATTCAATTCAGGGTGTAGGTTATCACTATTTTATATTTAATTTTCCACCTATCTTCCCAATTAGACTCTATGAGTGTTGGCAGCAGAGGGACGTAACACAAGAATATGTGCACAAAGCTTACACTTCTTTGGTACTTGGTTTGGGCAACAACCTCTTATGCACCAGAATGTTTAAAGACCTGTCTCCTGCAGCAGTTTGACCCTCAGTGTCTCATAGGGTGTGCAGACAAATGTGATTTGATCAGAAATCCCCTTTCCTCAAAAGTAGCTACGATACACGGTAGTCCAGTGGAAGTCATGTCACTCTTAGCCGTACACAACAGTGAGAAAAGGCTACCGCATAGTAGCGTCTTTCAGGACCAACAAACAGCACAGGCTCCATTAATTAAGGGTAAACCCACGGATCCTCCTATTTCACATGCTACATTCTTTATTGAGTAACCATCTAACTAAATATTTGGGTCAACATATTTTACTTTGAAGAAAACATTTTAAATAACACTTTATTTACAATAACTAATCAAATAGTTCTGTATTTGTGAATAGTAAGAAATTAAATGGTTTAGTAAATTACAACTACAATATATGTATATTAAATTAGCTTTAGAGTATACCATTAAAATGACATTACCATCACGACAATGTAAACTCTGGCAATCAAATTTTGACAATTATTTAGATGTTAAAATGCAGAAGCTATAACAAACTGGTAAATATTTCAGGAGAAAAAAGTAAAAATAGAAACATACTATAAAACAAAGGGCCTATAATTTTTAACATTTTTCCTATTTTCTATGGTAATTAAATTATAACAAAACAAATTAAAACGGTGTGAGCTTAGTAAAAATATAAATAAGCGGAACCTAAAAGATATTTAGTAAGACATTATTTCGTATTTCAAATAAATAATCTCACTGAACAGATCAGGGTAATAAAAAACATCCTAAAATAACATTAAAACAATTAATAATATTTTGTTAACTCAACGACTAAGGTAGAGTATTCCTACTCTATGGATTCTGGGTTCTAGTACAGCTGTGGGGGAAAAAGGGAGTAATTACTTATTGTCACCTCAACCGAGGGTTAATCTTGTCTGGGGCCATACAATGTCTGCTAACTTACTTAAAAAATACTAAACCCAAGATCTTCCATGACTTGTAGTGTTACAGTTGTTTTATTTTATTTATTTTTTATGTATTCAAATTCTGTTCAATTAAATTGATAATCACACTGTTACATGTCAGATAAGGAAAGAAAATTACCACAATATTTCATGAAATTAATACCTTTACAACTTTAAATCATCAATTTCAATATTTAGCTTGTTTTTTTCTGGGTTTTTTTTTCTACACTAGAACCTATTTAAACACAAATGCATAATAATAATAATAAATCAAAATATGGTTAGCTGCACACTAAACCTTACATCTTCAATGCAGGTCAACGGCAGGAAAGTTGATGGGTGAGGTTTGTTTTTCGGTCTTATAACTCCCATCAAAAATGGAGTAGGGGCAGTGCAGAGTTCCAGCATACTGGAAGGAACAGCGCCAATCAAAGTGTGTTCCCACTCAAAAGGAAAAATTGCTTTTAGAAGTCCTTCAATACAATCCGATACCAGGCTGAAAATATTAATAATAAAATTAATAGCTTATAAAATCCTTTTGAATATAAAGTAAAATCGTTAACATAGTTAAAATAAAATCTGTTGATGGAAAGCAATGAAAATCTTGTAACAACATTTTCATAAATTTTCCTAAAAACAAAAAAAATTAGGTTATTATTGGAAATATTCCAAACCACACAGCCTTATGTCTTCAAAAGGCAGGCAAAGAAAAAACCTGTTGACGTTTTGCTAATTCAGACATCATTAGGACAGAAAAGAACAGTTAATCGAAAATCGTTCCATGAAATCTAATCCTTTACACTTAAACAAATAAGTTCGAGAAAAACATTTTTTAACATGTTACAGATTTAGTTCTAAAAGTTTTTACTATTTATTATTCTTAATTATTTATAGATTATATATATTATTATTTATTTGAATTGATCTTAATACACAATTTTCTATAAGTCTTGCACACTTTTTACTCCTAGAATTAGATTTACCCTGAGTATAGAACAAAAAAACATATAATAATAATAAATAAATTATGAGCTTTAGAAAACTGTCACTAAAATATTCATTAGGAGTTTTATTAAATTTGTTACACCAATGTACAATTTCAATGGTTTTTAATATCAGGTATTCTCATTCTCATTGATATTGATCATTGATAGTCTGACTAGGCTTAAATCCCGATTTTTTTCAAAATGGCTTCCCCTAAAATGCTTTTAATATGGTTTATCTGAAATAAATAACAGTCTCTAGTGGTTAATAGTAATAATGAATGGCTAAATATAAACTATGAAATACTTTGATAATTAAAAGAGAGGGCAAGATAGAAGACTCATTTTTCAGTGTTTAAAACTAATTTTTGGAAACAAGTTAAGTGCTATGTATTTATAATATATAGTTAGAAAACTAAATATTTTAGTAACATTAATATATATATATATATCAATACATAAAGTAGTAAACAGAAATGGAGAGTGATGAAAAAATGATGAATAATTATTTTTGAAAACTAATATAATTTAATGGAAACAAAATGCTTCCATAGAAGCTAAATGAAATTTCTAAACTAAATGGAAACTTTAAAAATTATTACTTCCATCAATATTTCCTATTTATGGTGCCCTAATTTCATCTTATAAAGGTTATAGATCAGTCAGTCTCTCCATGTAATACCCTAATACGAAGAGGGCAGGCACAACTTGACAATAATATTTTCTTCACTAAGACTAATGTTACAGATTGACAATAGAAGTATAAAATAAGATTTGAAATTATGTAAAAATTATTCTTAAGCTTAATCGATCTTGTCTTTATTGAATAGTTTAAAAACTATTTTATCGTAATTTTGTGAAAAAAGCATAGGCAGCTAAAAATATTTCAAGCAGTGTTTACGAATTGATAAAACATATGGAATAAACTTTAATAACTAGTCACAATAATAGATTTAAATATTAACTAGCCATATTTGAGCAGAAATTTAATTATTTAATTAGGTTGGTGAATGAAAGTTGTGCATTACATGCCATACCAGATTTTGTAATAAATATAGCTATGTTATACTTCACATTAGTTAGGCTAAGTATAAAGATTGATTTTGCCTGCCTTGATTCTATCACACTTACAACAGATGAGTAATTAGATTTCTTCTTTTTTTTTTTTTTAAAGTTACATTTTTCTCTTTGGCACAACAACCAATAAGTTCAGTTCCAGTTCATTTTTGTGATTTTATATAATTCTCGAAGGAAAGTACAGTATACCAAATTTGTTTATATTATTGAAACAAGAAGTATGTTCATTGTTGTAAATTAATTTAATGGAGCTTACTTAGGCTTTTCACATATAGAATAATACAAAAGCAATTTATACCACAAGGTAATGTTCACATTGACCTTGATCTGAGGCAGCATTCACACAGAGGGTTATTTCACAACCTCAGACCTTTGTTGTCCATGTGACAAAACTAACTGTTTTGATTATCATACAATATACAATTCTGTATTTTTTTCTGCTGTTTAGCATATTAGGGTATGCAGATTGATGCAATATTTTTAAAATATGAAGTTTTATATGTTAAAACGCCTTACCTTATATTAGATCCGACCAAGATTACTTTCCTTTCAATTAGAAGAGTTGAAAAGGCTTTTATGAATATGGGAACAGTGAGTGCTTGGAGAACCCTCGATATATCATAACTTTCTTGCCTAGCATCAACTGCTCTTCGAAATATTACATCGCCAAATCTGTAGAAAAAAAAAAGATGGGATAATAAAAAATTATTAATTAAAATAGTTAATCCATAACACTAAAACACTTGAGATGTACATGTAAAAAGGAATATTCAACAGGAGAGAGCATAAGATACAAAGTCTTTATTATAGTAGTTTACAAAATACACCAGTTTATTTTAGTTTCTAAATACAATTGTATATAAAAGAATAACAACAGGAATTTCAAATACCTCAATTAAAAAAAATTCTAGGCACTTAAGAGAAATTTGGGATGAATATATAACATTTGCTGTTCTTAGGTTTTTAAGGCCACCGAATTCAAATATAATGTTATCTCTTTATTATATAAAAACGTTTTTGTGACCAATATTTAATTTTACATATACAAAAGAGGATGGACCGTAACGAAGACACCACCCTTCTTATTCCCAAAATTATTTCTCCCTTATTATGGCTACGAATTGGCAAAAAGGCACGATTTTTAGAGAAATTAAAAATTTGTCCGAACTATGATTAAGGGGATGTCAAGATAAAATAATCACTTTGACTCAGTACACCACAAGAAGTAGGAATTTCTTATTACAAAAAATTTAACACACTAATCTAAGAATATAAACAAACCATATATAAAAATAAACATTTTAATCGCACACTATAAATAATATCTATATATATTTTTTTTTTATCCATCCCTTCTTCGCCTTTTAGGCTATACAAGGTTTTCCCAGGACAGGAATTAATGCCAGAGTTAACAGCGCCCCCGGGTACCAGGATGCGAACTCGTAATTATTTTAAACAAATTATCTTTGCCGGGTAATGAGTACTGCTGTGCACACTTATTAGCTTGCCCAGCCACCTCGATCCTACATAATATTTGCAATAAAAGCAGACTAACACAATATTCACTATTTTTAAACAAATATTCTGTCTATCTGTCCTTGGTGCATCTACACTGTTACCTCCTGGCAGTCTTCTCACTTAGACAGTGTTACACTAGACAGCCATGATATGAGATTTGTTATCACGCCCTCCCCTGTATCCGTTCCGTTTATTTTAGGTTCATAAAAAATAATATAATTGAAGTACAGAACACATATAATTAAAGTTATATAATTTGAGCAATGAGTACCATAGTACCATTAAGTGAACAGTTTTATAAATAGTAAAATAGCGGTTGGCCCACCAATATTTGAACAGAGGTTACTCCCCTAGAAATTTAATAAAATTATCATTGCCAGGATATGCTCACACCATTTATTCTAATATATATATATATATATATATATATATATATATATATATATATATATATATATATATATATATATATAAAAAAATATATATATATATATATATAAAAACTTTATATATATATATATATATATATATATATATATATATAAAGTTTTTTTTTGTTAAAATTAACTGTTAATAAATGAATCAGATTTGACCAAGACGGTCATTACACATTCCTTCTCACATTTTTTTTACATCCTCTCTTCTTGCATTAAGTAAAGACTTGAACTGAGTTTCATTTCTTCTTGGCCAAAAAATATTATAATAGTCATGATTAATAAAAAAATTCATATTCACTGCAGAAGCAACAATGATTATAAAGGCTCTTAATTGGATACTAAATTGCAAAAATAATTTGGTGGTAATAGCAACAGACTCAAAAAGCATCATGGTGGCATTTGGTAGCCCTTACTAAGGGAAATGGTTAACCTATGATAAATTGGTATTAATGTCGCCAGCTATTATTATATTGTTGTATAAAGGAACATAGGTAAAAAGGGAAGATCCAAAGGCAGGATCAAATTGGGCATGGGGAGGGTATTATGTAATGATGTAAAGAAGGGAAAAGGAATTTGAGGAAATTTCTACAAATAAATACTCCAAGTGAGGAAAGTCAGGACAAGGAGATTTTTGCAGGATCTTTGCCCTCAGAGAGACTCTCATGAACATAAAGACCAACACCACCAAGTGTTCGATCTATTTGATTATGAAGGATGAGGCCATTGTTAGGAATGGATATAGAGGTAGAGGAAATATTAGGTTTGAGCCAGGTTTCCAAAACGGTAATCATATGATAAAAATTATGAAGGAAATAATCTTGGAATTCATCAAAGTGAGGGGAATGGGATTGGGAGTTAACAGTCATTAAAGGATATATAGATGCTATAAGTAAAAGCTGCATTAATTATAACTGTCATGTCAAGAAAATGACTGTCAATTCATCTCCATTGTCTATTAGCACTATGCAGACTATTTATATCCCTATATATATTTTTTTAAACAAAATAATAATTTCACAAGGAAATAAAGTTATACTCTGATTAAAATATTGTTAATCATTACATAGCTTGACAACACCAATAGGAAAAATCATTAGTAATATTAACAAACACATGCATGATAAATCCTTTTTAATTAAAAATTTAATAGGCACAGTTTATTCATGTATCTATTTATAATATTTATAAGATTAAGATGAAAATTCAAATAAAACAAATACAATATTTTAAGAAGTTCATTATCCTTCCTTTATCATTCATCATCCAAGAAGATCATTCCTTCAAAAGAAATGTAATTTTAATTAAAAATTTAAATTAATATACATTTTATCTATTATATAGATAACAGATAATTATTAAAGCAGGATTAGAATTATATTAACTCATAGGTCTATGGGGGTAGTATGTTTATTTACAATGAGATATGGAATTATCATGAGCAGATAATGAACCTTACACCACTCAAACAGCAAATCTAAAACATATCTCAAGAGGCAACTTGGTAAACATCAATCATTTAATTCTCGGGCTCAATTTTAGTTCAAGCACAAAAATAGTGACAAGAGAAACTGGTAAGTCTATAAACCAACAGGATACAGGTAATTCTTAAAATCATATATTTTTGGTTTACACACACATGCATATATATATATATAAAACTAAACTATGCCATGACTTTAATTTAATGATAATTTTTTAATAATGAATTAACTAGAGACTAGACTTTCATGTAATAAAAAAAAATTGAAAACTGCAGCAAAGACTTTTAAAATAGCCCAAATATGCTATTATATTTTAAGTAATACCTATTTATTAATATTACAAAGAAAAACTGCTAAAACTAACAACCAAAAAAATGAAATTTTTAATCATTATATAATTTCAAAATCTTAATAACATAACAAAATAATGAGGAGTCATTTAAGTAGGAAAAGAAAAAAAAATGGAAAATCAAATTGAATGAAAAAATGTAATTAATAACTTAATGTAATTAATAATGCCCCTTGATTTTTTACTTCAATGGCTTTCGCACATTTTTCATTGAACCATTCCTCATTTCTTTAAGTTGTAATTTCTCCCAATGTCTCTTCCATTGCCTTGCTTGTTGCTTCCTTTACAACTTTCCATTTCTTCACAATTGTCACACTTTCTCTGCTTTGCTATTCAGGCTGCTTTCCACCTAACTTCTCTCTCCCTATCCATAACCTCTTGAAAATTCCTCGGTTCATTCTCTACCTTCAATTATTCAGTGCTCCACTTTGTTCGTTTGATAGTGCCTGCTCTTGTCCCCTTTGCTGTTCTTCGCCTTAACTCATCTCTAACCAAAAATTGGTCTGAATCACAGTCAGGGCCACTCATACTTCTCATATATATGATGTTCGACAAAGAATCCTGTTCCTGTTTCACCATTTTTTTTATCCAGACCACTGTATAATATAGATAACTCCTTTTTATCAATTCTCCCACTTCTACTTCATCTTATTTCTTGCAATATCGCAATATCTATATTATGCTTTATGAGCTGGTCAGCAATTTCTTTCATTTTGCCCGGTCCTAACATTGTATTTACGTTCCATGTGGTTAATGAAGCCTCACACTGTTTCCATTCTAGTTTAATCCGTTGAGAGTGCTTAGGTCTTTTACCATTTAAAATATCCGGCATTTCTTTCAACAATAATTTTTTTCAGAGGGGTCGTTGACCTACGCTCAACCCCCAACCTGGATGACCGGGTCATTTGCCTTCAGGGAACCGAACAGGCCAACACTTGTGAAAAACGTACATTGCCCTGAGCAACCTGTGATAAACAGATGTTTATATGAGTTCAAATCCTGGTACCGGGAAAACTCTTGACATAACTGGAGGAATCAGAGGGCATGAGGCCCTCTCCTCTGGACAGGAAAACACCATTTTGGAAAAACACCATATAGCCAAAAAGAAGAGGAAAAAAAAAGAATGAACACTGTTATATAATTTGCCATCCATGGTAAGCTTTATTATATGTTTCTGTCTGTTTTAGATTACTTAAAATGTTTTATAATAGAATACAATTAAATAAATGTAGTTTTGATAACAGATTAAAATAATTTTAATTATTGTTATGTTGTATTTAACAGTTTTAAATTGTCTTTGATGATGGGTGAGTAACATGAAATGTTAGACAAAAGAATATAACAAAGATTACCATGGAAGAGAAAATCTTCATTAAAGATACCTAGAACTATTATAACTCTTCTTTTGAAAAAGTTAAAATACCAAATAATATATGATGAAATAATGTGTCAGTATTTATAACTTAATTTTTTTCAGATAATTCACTAGGTCTCACAGAATAACTTGAGCCATCAAAGTTATAAATCTGTTGAGACATTTCACTCGAAAAATCATTACAAACCTACAAGTGGTCCAGCTAAAAACAATATCCTTCTAATAGTTTTGTGTGGTCGATTAATAATAATTGTTTTGTCTTCTAAAATACTCAGATAAATGCATATAACCACAAATGTACAAAATAAACAGGTGTCCGAGTGCACTAGTTCAGGATAGATATGTGAGAAACCAGTTATAGACCATAGGCTAACTAAGTATGCAATCCTAAAATTATAGTCTGTTAATTACCCAACTTCATACACTAATAGACAAATTTAAAAAACAAATAATAATCTTTATAACTTTTTAAAAATTCAAATGCTCTAGAACCAGAGAGTGAGATTTTTGTTTTTCTAGGTTAGATAAAATATAGACCTAATAATAAAAATAATAATAGTGGGAAAAATAAAAATTTAAAAATACAATCTACAAATTAAATGAGTTTTTTTTTTTTTAAATTAAATGATAATTTTAACTTAAGATTTTACAAAATTACTTAATCTTATGGCATGATATGACATGCAATGGATGAGCTCTGTATCCAATTATAGGAAAGAGAAAAGATTAAAAATATATATATTCAATAATAAGTACTTTAATGCATAGAAGTGTAACATATTTTTGGAGTTTTAAATTATTTACAATATTAAAACAATCAATTTACTTACTGCAGACTTAAACCAGGATTTGGAATACTGGAATAAAACAAACTTCTCACAAATTGGTAATAATCGGCTACTGGCATACCATGTCGGGCCTCTAATTCAGATAATATCTAAAATGGTATATCTTTATTTAAATAAAATATTATGCAAAAAATTTAAAATTATATTATTGAACAAATAATTTTAATAAATCATAGTTAATAGCAATGAAAGTATTGGGTAATGGCAAGTGTAATGTCAATTTCATCAAAAACCAAGAAGGTAAAATAATAGCAATGAACTCTCCTCCATTCTCAGATTTAAGCTTCCATCCCTCTCTACCTGACCATAAACAGAAATACTCCAGATGTAGTTTATAAGGAATAATAATTTATGAAACTATTTATATTATCCTACCTAACTTATGTTTTAAAACATCAGCATTATATACTCACATACATATCACTCTGGCTCCTGAGTCATTTTTATGACATAATAAGATATAAATATTAGTTGTTTACAATGTATACAACAATACAAACAATACAATGTACAAAACAGTACATACATCAGAAATTGATTTAGATGATTCAATCAATTAAAAAAAAAAATCCGGAATCAATACAACCCATGAAGGGTGTTGGTTTCAGTACTATTTAGGGAAAGCACTGTTTCTTGGTCTACAGTTGTGCAAAGAGGTGATTTGATTGAGATCACGCTCAACTGCCAGGTTTTGGGTACCCACTTTATAGAGCCTGGGTGTGCCCCAGGAAGGTCAACCTAACCAGGGTCGCTCCACGCCCAACGAAACAGAATAAATAATTATTCTGTCATGAGCCGGGAGTTGAACCTGGGACCTTTAGCATTGGAAGCTCAGTACCCTACCACTGAAAACCGAATACCAAAAATTTGACAGATTAACTTTCCTGGCCTAGCCACTTAAAGTTATAAGGACCCAGCACGTTGGGGCAAGGGTCTTACAGAGCCCGTATTGGAAGGGTGGTTAGTTTTATTTCTTGCTTGTTGAGCCTGGAAATGAATTTTGACACTCCCACTCTGGTCAGTATGGACAACCTCTAGGTTGCCTCAAGGGGTTGATAAAAAGAAACATAACAAACATGGCTCATTTGCCAGAACGGTACTCCACCAATTCCAGTGCCTAATCACCTCTGGTGACAGTAAAGAAAATAATACATAAGCGTAAATAGATTACCTGTAATCACCATATAAACATATATATCCTTAACTCACACAGAGTTAAGAGAAGTCTAAATTTTATCCCATACCTTATAATAAAAAATATTGTCTTTATGTTGGCTGATGAGAACATAAGCTAATGGAAGGCAGATGGGAGCACCTTCAGGTTGAAGCCTTCTGCAGTAAGCATATTTCCTTGCACCATCCTCTGAGGTAAGGACTAAAGTATAATTATTATGATGGCCAGAAAGAGAAACTGCACTTGGCGGCCAATCATCTGCATCAGGAAATACTAACTCAGCAAGGCTTTCAGGAAGAACTACCTAAAATTAAGATAGAATTTTGTTTTTTAATATGTATACATAATACATTATAATTATGTCCTCGCATACCTTCAGAATAATTAATTTTAGATTTGATGAATTAAATAATTTCTTACCGATTCAGGGTATTTAGATTTTACATATGGAACTTTTCCTAATTTAACATCTTGATCTAATCCAATCAGTAAAAGAACTTCGAACAAATTTTGCCCTTGCCGTGGTAACCTAATGGTTTGCTGCCTCATACTAGATACTCTTTTTACATAAACTTTTCTAACAGCAGTAACTTCTTCTTGGTTACCTGCATTTTAAGATATCAAATTAATATCTGTTTATTCATAAAAATTAATAAATCTTTATTATGAATATTACCTTTATTAAAATCAGTCCTTTCTTCCTGAATGGAATCAGCATCACTGTCAGACTTCATGTTTTCATTAAATGTGTCCGTTATCATTTTAATCTAAATAAAATAGAATAAATTGTACAATTGCATACATTAATTATAGATTATTAATTAGAATCAGACATAATGTAAACAAATAATAATAATAAATGAATAAAAACTAACCTTTTTATTGTTTAGTTCACTTGAGGTAACAGATTCTGGAAGTATCATTCGCCTTGATTCACGAACAGGGGAAGACTGTAACATTTAACATTACAGAACAATCACAGCATGAACACATATAAAGGAACCTATATAGTGAGATTGTAGACCTCTACATATTTAAAAGCATAAAATAATTATACATTTTATAAGTGTTTCAATCCATGAGGGCCAAAATTTAGGGAATGTTACCACTTCAATGGAAATATTTCTAAAAACAATTGAAATACTTTAACTAATACAAAAATGTCAAAATCAATAACTCACCATATAATGGACACTAAGTTTAGGTTGAGGTGAATCGTTCTTATTCGTTACTGAACCCTTATTTTTTCTTTCACTCCTAGGAGAATACGGTTCTTCATAGATGTGCCTAATATTTTGAACCTTTCTTATTGTGCCATAAGTAGATTTGTTAGATGTTAAATTAATATTATTTTGTGCTTCACTCTTGATTTTCAACAAAGAAGGGGCGTCGTAAATGTTTGGATTAAGACAAGAACTAAAACCATTAAGACAAAATTTGTTGAATTTAGAATTTGTTGTATTCTGAGAAACTTCACTCTGTTTAAAAACAGGCTGGGTGCAATTTGAAATGTTGGGTGTCACAATGGCATTCGATTTATTGTTGATCTGATTAGTTAACAATGCAGATTCTAATTTCTTTAACATTATGTGGGGATCAGTCTTCGAGCGCCTTGGTAAGGCAACTGATGGCACTGAGTTTCCATTTTTGTTCAGCAACAATGAATCTGACAACTTAGTAATAACAGTTTTCTTGTCAGAGTTATCAGGTATAAGTGATTCTGGACTGTTACCAGCATGAGCAAATGTTCTTGGTGGTTTCTTAGGGGCTGGTCCAACAGGTAAGGGATTTTTCAGAGCTTTTTTTAAAGTGTCAGTCAGACTATCAACATTGATTTTCAAAGCTACTGGTTTAGTTTGTAAGTGACTACTACTTGCTTTACTATCTTTCAAAGGAAAAGATTTTTCCTCCAACTTAACAACACTCTTTGAAGATGATTCATTGATGACTCCCAATCCAATTAAATTTTTATCTAGCACAATGTTTGAGTTTGATAGCTTTATTTTCGTTTTATCATTTCTAAAAGCATGAGACCTTCTGATGATTCCTTTGGTCACAGATTGAAGATCAAGATCTGTAGAATTCTTGGCACTATTGGAACCACTGCTTTTGAGGAAACTAGGTAAAGGATTTTTAGAGGCGAATGAATCATTGTTCGGAGAATTTAAACCTTCAAATCGTTTCCTTATTTCTTGGACTCTAGTCCCCTTCTCCATGTCATTGTTAGGCAAAATTTTGTTAAATTTCCTCCCTGGCTGATATAACTCAAGACATTATAGGGCATAGTAACGACCGTGATTCAACTGATAGACGTATCAATTACTTTTTTTAGATATCTCCTAAAGGTAACCCTATCATAACATATAAACAACAGTGTTGACTAGGCTTTTCATTTGAAATTATCAATAAATTCGAACTTAAAATATTCAATTGCAAAAGTAAGTACTTGTCGAGTTAAAAAATAAATAAATAAATATTACTTTTAAAAAATATTCTGAGGTATACTGGGTCATTAATCTTACGGAAAATTCAAACCGAGAGGAGAAAAAAAATGACAAGTAAAATATTTTTTTTTTTCGTTAATCTAACAAAATCATATTTCTTTCTTGTGACAATTACCTGCATTTCATAATGATGTTACCACAATAGGTACACAAGCTTAAAATGTAGTACAAAACAAAAATATATGCATAAAAAGATAAGATGAAAATCATTGTAATTTAATAAATTATGATTTATTTTATTAAACACAATTTTTCATTCCATTCTATTGAATATTTTAAATTTAATATTAAGGATCTACGCCAAATCATGAAGTTAAACTAACTTAATCTCGCAAGCATTAAATGGCAATAATTCTTCCGAAATCTTAACTGATTGGTTAGTTCCTTTTATTCTATCTTTCCAATTTAATTTAACGTAAATTGAAGAAAATTTTAAATAATTTGTTATTAGTGGCATATGTGTCACCATCTGAAAAAAATATTATAATATAAAATACCTGTTTGTTGACAATGCCTGTTTTCTCAAATGGAATGTTTTCCTCTTCTAATTTATTTAAAAGTCATAGTTTCAGAAAACTTTAGTGAATATGTTGATTAGCGTAATTTTGAAAAAAAAAAAAACGTCCTTGAAATATGAAAACCAATTTCATTACCGTTTCTAAAAATATGGGATTTTTAGATCCGAAAGATTTTTATTCACAGGAAAAACTCAGTACCTATACAATCACACCATACGTACAAAAACAGAGTTCAACGTTAATCAACCAACCTCTTTAATAACAGGCGTATTTCTTAACCTAGACTAATAATGTTCTTCGTTTTATAAGAGTTTACCTATGGGTAATCAGAGTAGCTCTCCAAAAGGACCCATCTCTTTTGCGATGTTTGACGAATCATCTTTCCGTTTTAAAGCTAGACCTCTATACTAACGTCAAACTGACTATCAGTATGCTTGGAATCTGAAAATAGGGGGTTTGTTATTTGCCAACAACCAAGTCCAATTCAAAGTTTAATTTTATAAACAAAATTAAAGTCTGCTGTACTACAGAAGCCCTTTCTTTCTTCCCACTAAAATTTTTGACATGTTTTGTTCTCATTGTTTTTTTTTTCACCTGTACCTCGAAAACTACTGAGTTTTTTTAGAAGACTGCGATACACAATATTTATATCTGTGAAATTTGTCTTTTCCATCAACTGTGAAGTCGCTAGAACAAGCTATAAAATTGACCAAAGTAGTAAAAGTTACATAAACAGTGTTCATGGCTCTTTGCGTCTATATGGAAGTTTATATGGAAACTTTGATAGTATGTTCCTATTTGTTATATGAGAACTAGCAACACTGTAAAAGCGAAATGACTGTGAGAGAGGTCCAACAAATTTATCTTCTTTTTCAATCCCTTTCATGGGACAAGACTTGTGGGGAGGGCATGCTCCTCTTCTCGATAATAAATAAGGGGGGCGACAACATCATTTGAGGTGCAAACATTTAAAAAGTAATATAAAAATCGATTAAAAATGATCTTTATTAACCAATAAAATATTTTGGAATACTTAAACAAATTAAGAAGATGGGAAAATTTGACAAGCAGATATATACATTGATATAACATCCTAGCAATTTCTTTTTGGTCAATCGCATCCTCCTCCCAATCAAAATGAAAACCTTGCGCCTCTAGTCTGCTCTCTTTAGGTTGGAAAATAACCACAACCTTGTAAACTTATGTACTCGATAACGGCCTTGCAATATGTAATTGTATTACGACATCATAAAAGTTCCTTTTATTTAAATTATCTGCAAAAAGGAATGAACATTTATTAATCGATAGAATAGAAAAGCAGTAATTTAGATGTGAGAATACGCTTTGCTAATGGTAGGCTTCCAATATCAAAATAAAGTGAAGATTTGTCTACTTCAATTTCCTCTGACATAAGAATGCGACTATTCACAGGATGATAAGTACTGCACCCATTGGCGCAATGCTATCCTAGCTCGGTCAAATTGGCACAAAAAAGGGATCTAGCTTGTAGAAAGTCTGTAATTCGAATTTCTTTTTTATATTGCTAGGTACGTAGAGAATATATGAACTCTAAATTTCCGCCCCTGAAAGCCTTGTGAGTTCGCTGCAGTCTTCCAAAAACCATTGGAGTTTCGAACATCTTATGGTTTACGCTAAATATCTCCTTTTTAAAGCAACATAGATAAAACATAGTTATATTCAATCTTAAAATTATCTGACATTTTTATACATAACATTACTTTCCAAACCCAACAGGAAATGAACTATCGAGCTTTTAAAATTGGTAAAGTTTTTTAAATTCGCAGAAAACATGCACAATTTTTGTTTTTAATTAATTGTCTGTTTTTATATGTGACGTAGCTCATATTTTTAATTAAATGTGAAAGCACACACAATTTACTATAGCTTTTATTGGAAACATATTTCTCTAAACTTAACAATTTGAATACAAATCGCTAAAAAGAAATTAATGTTTTGAAATTTGAAAAAAAGCTTTTAATTTTATTTTTACTGTTTTCCACTAATTTTAATGAAATTAGTCATAAAAAATTACTGCTTCTTTCCTTGTAACTTTTAAGTGAACTTTATTCAAGCACATTTTTTAATAATTAATATTATCCAAATTATATACTATTGTTTGTGTTCTTACTGATTGTTATCATATGAAGACTGTTCGATTTCTTCATAAAAATTGTTTTGGACTATTAAATTATTGTATTAATATTTATTCGTTAATACAATCAAAATGTACCAAAAACGTTATTATAACACTATAACTACGCCATTTATCAGTACTGAATGATATGTGGCAGAGAACTCTAGGCTCCAATGCCAGTGCCGCTTTTCCGCCGATTAAGTAAATTTTGTACTAATCGCTTCAAATATTTTAAAAGTAATCAGTATTTTAGATAGAGAAATGTATTCTTCAGTTGTTTTATTTCTTGCCATTTATTGTTATTGTTGATAATTTATTTACAAACGACGCTTGATTTGAAACTTTAGTTTGAACGACTTGAAAAAAAAAATCAAATTTACTGGTGTTTGTTATTGCCAAAGTCAATTATTTTTTTCATGTTTTATTATTCCTTAACTATTCAGAATTGACAAAAGACCAATTATGATGGAATTAAGCCAAATGCTGAATCTCAGTGATCAGAAAACTAACTCAAGTCAAAGACGTCTTGTTTGGATGCCATTTTGGGACAGTGCGGCAACTTTATTTATGGGAACATTGACTTTTTTTTAATAAATAGTTATAAGGAACGCAACTGTAGGCAATTTTTTGGGATGTGGGCGGAAGGTGCACGGTAGAAAGATCTGCCCTAACGTATAACATACGCTTCAAAACACTTTCCGACTACCGACTACTGGTCCAGTCAATGGATCATTCAAGGAAAACCTCCAAATTATCTGAAAGAGATTCGAAATGTAGTTACAAAATGTTTCCATCCAAAACTGAAAGAGCACTATTGTGAAGAAATCGAAATGGTTAATTTGCTTGTTGATAGTTTGCTTCCTGTTTGATTTAGAAAAAAAATCACATAATTTTAAGCCGTTTAATATTGAGTATAACCATTTCTTATATACGTCGCTCTAAAAAGAAATTATTTAGCGTAAACCAAAAAAACCTCGCGCGGGCTCATTACCGCGTATGGGGAGCGTCCCACGGGTGGCGGATGTGGGGATGGTCGGTGGAAATTTCTTGGAAGTTCCTCCCGGCTAAGTCCGATGGACTCGCTGACCAACAATGAGAGGGGCCCTCCAGACTTGCTGGAGGGAGGGGACCTCCAGACTTGCTGGAGGTAGGGGCCCACCAGACTTGCTGGAGGGTGTGACGTAGGATTGAACGCCCTACTCACATATCTTTAGTTCACCAAACACCACAAAAAGTCATGGATCTCCCTAAGGTAAAACGCTCATTATCCGGAGGTAAACTAGTCCCCCGTTCGGGTCTCCGGGTGGGGACTGCTTTAGGGGATTCATGCCGCAAGTTGAAATATAGGGATTTAAATATTGGTACGTGGAACGTAAGGAGTTTAAACACAGCAGGGGGGCTAAAATCGGTCGCGAATGAGGTAAATGGGTACAATTTGGATGTCGTGGCTCTGCAAGAGGTTCGCTGGCCAGGGGAGGGCTCGATGAGGGAAGGAAAGTACACTATTTGGTACGGAGGAAGCGGGAATCATTGTTTAGGTACCGGGTTTCTAATTAGGAGTAGATTACTATCCGCTTTGAGGGACGTACAATTCTTTAGTGATAGAATTTCGGTAGCTACATTTCAGGGACGTTGGTTTAAAATCGCATTAATAAACATACATTGTCCGACCGAAGACAGTGACGATGAAGTCAAAAGTGAATTTTACGATAAACTCGAATGGGTTTATGATAAACTACCACGAAACTACATGAAAATAATTGTAGGTGACGCGAACGCAAAGGTAGGAAGGGAAGAAGTTTATATTCAGACTATTGGTAAAGAAAGTTTGCACGAATATAGTAATGATAATGGGATCCGTCTGATAAACTTTGCCATCTCGAAAAACCTGGTAATTAAAAGTACGACGTTTAAACGTAAGGATATTCATAAATATACTTGGACATCACCGGATTCGCAAACACGAAATCAAATCGATCATGTCTTGATACAACACAGCTGGCAAAGCAGTATAATTAATGTACGGTCTTATCGCGGAGCAGAATGTGGGTCGGATCATGAATTAGTAATCGCGAAACTTCGACAAAAACTTAATATAAAAAAGAGAAAAGAAAACCGTTTCGATTTTGAGAATTTTAATTTGGAAAAATTAAAAAATCCATCAATTAGAAACCAATTCGAGCTAGAAGTTAAGAATAGGTTTGAAGCTTTAGAGCTTCCTGACGAGGACCACGAGGATATTGACAAGTTATGGATAGAGATCAGAGATAATATTAAAGCGGTCGGTAACTCGTGTCTAGGAAAAAAGGAAAATAAGAATAACAAATCGTGGTTTGATGAAGATTGCTTAAACATGTGTGAAAAAAGAAAAGCCGCTAAATTAAAAGCTCTAAATAATCCTAGCGAAGACAATCTGGAATACTTCCGAATCTCAAAGAACGAAACGACAAAATTGCTCAAAAATAAAAAGGGAGTATCTTAAAAATAAAATAATTGAAATAGAAACTAACAGAATCGAAAATAACGTAAGAGACATGTACAAAGGTATAAACAGATCACGAAAATATGTAGGGCCCGTAACGTCTGGAATTAGGGATGATAATAACAATATTCTGACCGATCCGGCTGACATATTGAATAAGTTTAAGGACCACTTTGACAGTA